AAACAAACAATGGATGGCTTTCTCTTTTTGTAGGAAAGCTGCAATCTTTATATGATTAGTATCTAAATCTCAGGATGCATCTACTTTGTAGAATTAATGCAGTCTGATACCATTTTAACCGCCATAGCTTAATGATATGGAATTGTGGAAGTTGTCATTAAACAAGGTCTTGAGTGTTGTCGAAGGCTTTTATGGCTGGAATCACTGGGTTGCTGTGAGTTTTCCGGGACTATATTTCAGAAGCATTCTCTCCTGATGCTTCGCCCACATCTATGGCAGGCATCCTCAGAGGTTGTGAGGTCTGTTGGAAACTAGGCAAGTGAGGTTTATATATCTGTGGAATATCCAGAGAATGTCTCACCTCTGCAGGAGTCTACTGTATACCATGCAGCTGTGCTCAAGTCTATATAGGGACCACCACATGCCGCTAACACGAATCAAGGAACATGAAAGGCTTTGCAGACTAATTCAACCAGAGAAGTCAGCCATAAAAGAGCACTTGGTGAACCAACCTGGACACAGCATATTATTTGAGAACACAGAAATGCTGGACCACTCTAACAACCATCTTGTCAGACTACACAGAGAAGCTATTGAAATCCACAAACATGTGGACAACTTCACAATTACAACAGAAAGGAGGAAACCATGAAAATGAACAAAATCTGGCTACCAGTATTAAAAAACTCTAAAATCAGGAAAGTAGATAAAGAGCAACACTCAAAAAGCAGGGACATTCCAGACAGGAATCAATCAGGGCCAACTAATACCTCCCAACAAAGGATCCCCAGGCAGGAAGCAGCCAAGCTTTGAAGTTGCAAAGCCATTCAATGCTAATCACGGTGGCCAACGGCAACATTAACACTTGCCTCCAACAGACAAAAGTTCTTTCTTCCACCCTGAACATTCCACGGATATATATAGACAGACCTCACAACTTCTGAGGATGCCAGCCATAGATGTGCATGAAATGTCAGGAGAGAATGCTTCTGGAACATGGCCATACAGCCTGGAAAACTCACAGCAAGCCCAGGTCTTTAGTCTTCTCTGCCAAAGAATGCCGGGGACATACCAAGCTACCTACAAATCCCAGGGTTTCATAGCACTGAGCCATGGCAATTAAAGCAGTGTCAAACTGCACTAATATTATAGTGCAATCATACCCTACGCCTCGTTTGAATTCAATGCTTCTGAGTATACATGCAAAAACACTGTGTGGCCAAGCCTGCCATTTATCTATTGCTCCTCATCTTAAGAACCGATCATATGAATGAACATAAGGGAGTGGATGGGCTGAGAATCAAAACAATACAAACATGTGAGCAAGCAGAATCTCTTTAGCAGCATGCTACTGTCAACTCCCTTTTGGTTTCTTCTTTCGCTTCCTCATCACACTTTTTAAACAATTCCTACGAAATGGAAAGGGCAGGTCACTGAGTGTTGTGTCCATTTCTCCAACTGGGAGAGATTTACGCTATTCTGTTTTTATCTAAATGCAGACTCGGTGACCAGAAAGGATAAGTCAGTCTTTGGAGAAGACTCCCAGTTTACTGGATTGAGGAGTTCAAATGGCTTTATATTCTGCTCTGAAAGGCTGGGTCACAAAAACACTCACAAAAGGTATTAGCTCACAGGGTCTTTTGCAAAATGTTCCTTTTTACTGCAAAGAGCTAAGGATTCCAGGCACAATTTCCCTCGCTTTTCTAAGGCTGAGGACATGGCATGAATGCAGAGTTTGGGCAAGTGCAAGCTGAATAACTGCACAGTGCAATCTGAAGCCTGCCTACTTAGAAGTAAGCCCCACTGAACCCAATAGGATTTATTTACAGGTACAAGTGCGAATCGCACTTCATTCTCTTACGAGCACTTAAACATCTGGTTGCAGAAGCACATACTCCCTCCACAGGTAAGGGAAACTGAACACTGTCAACTACAGAAAAAAGATATATTTTCACTTCTACAAATGTTGTTCCTCCTCCTTTAAAATCAGATTTTCAATAACTCTTTATACCCTAGAAATAGGGAAACTGTGGCTCACAAATGCTGCCATGTTTAAAATATACTGATATCGCTGTCCCTAGTCTGACTATATAGCTCCACTGTAGTAACCTACGGATGTGAGAGCTGGACCTTAGGGAAGGCTGAGCGAAGGAAGATAGATGCTTTTGAACTGTGGTGTTGGAGGAAAGTTCTGAGAGTGCCTTGGACTGCGAGAAGATCCAACCAGTCCATACTTCAGGAAATAAAGCCTGACTGCTCACTGGAGGGAAGGATAGTAGAGGCCAAGATGAAGTACTTTGGCCACATCATGAGAAGAAAGGAAAGCTTAGAGAAGACAATGATGCTGGGGAAAATGGAAGGAAAAAGGAAGAGGGGCCGACCAAGGGCAAGATGGATGGATGGTATCCTTGAAGTGACTGGATTGACCTTGAAGGAGCTGGGGGTGGTGACGGCCGACAGGGAGCTCTGGCATGGGCTGGTCCATGAGGTCACGAAGAGTCAGAAACGACTGAATGAATGAACAACAACAACAACATATTCAGATATCATGACTTGGGTAAAGGTAAAGGTTTCCCCTTGACATTAAGTCTAGCCGTGTTAGCCTCTGGGGAGTGGTGCTCATCTCCATTTCGAGGAAGAGCCAGCGTTGTCCATAGACACCTCCAAGGTCATGTGGCCAGCATGACTGCATGGAGCCCCATTACCTTCCTACCGAAGCGGTACCTATTGATCTACTCACATTTGCATGTTTTTGAACTGCTAGGTTGGCAGAAGCTGGGCTAACAGTGGGAGCTCACCCCGCTCCCTGGATTCAATATAGATATAATTGCAACTTCAGCAGTTCAGCCGTTTAACCCGCTGCACCACCATGGGCTCCCCAAGATCCCTGAAATCCCTATTTAGTAGTTACATTGATCATTTGGTAGGAAAATCCTTTGTGTAAAATTCTGAAAAGCTGACCATATAAGGCTAGGAAGACAAATACTAACTCCGAACAAGGCGACACTGCACAATCCTCACATGAATGAGGTGGTTTATTTCAGTCACAGACTAGAACAACAAAATTAGCAACACTTTTACAAAAGAGCCCACAATAGGTCTAGATCACTGGTTACTTGGGACATAAAAGTAAAACAGTAATTAAAATATACAAGCAGAAACATTACTCATTGTGATGATTCACCACTTTTCTCCTTAGTTTTATAGCAGCTGCATGCAGGTCTCAGCTGCTTTTAAAGTGCTTTCATCCCTTACTCTCTATTAAGTATTTTAAATAGTAAACATCACATCTGCCTGGAATTTACTGCACAACAGGAAGAATTAAGGGTAGAGCATATGTTCTTCTAGAAATGGCAGTACAGTTGTCCCTCCGCATTTGTGGGTTTGGCTTTTGAGGGTTGTATTATTCATGGATTTGATGTAAAAGTTCTGTCTACAAATCTCTAGCTCCCTCCAGTATGATACTTGGCCAGATTCCAGTAGATGTTGACCACACAATCATGCTGGTTAGTTAGGCATTTCTAGAGAGATGTTCTCTTAGATAAAAATAAAAATAAAAATAGCAATTTATTTATTCAAAGCTTTTCACTTTCATGAGAATACGAAGGGCTGACTATACAGTAAAATATGACTATTTCCATCTTATTCCGATCACATGGACATACTCATTCTAGATACAGTATGCATCCAATTCTATCCTGTGGCAGTGCTAATGGCAGAACATTAAACTGCAGTGGTGCAATGTGTTAAACCCTTGTGCTTCTGAACTGCTGACCTGAAGGTTGGCAGTTTGAATACGTGAGACGAGGTGAGCTCCCGTCTGTTCAGCTCCAGTTCCTGCCAACCTAGCAGTTCGAAAACATGCAAATGTGAGTAAATAAATAAGTGCCACTTCAGCAGAAAAAGGCAAAGGGACACTCCAAGCAATTTTGCCGGCCACAAAACCAATTTTGCTGGCCACACAACCAGGAGGTGACAACGCAGGGTCCTTGGCTTGAAAATGGAGAAAGCACCTCCAGAAGCCAGACATGAAAGGAGAAGCCTGTGCTTTTGGTTGTGTTTGCTTGGAATTGAATGTTTGCCTATGGACAAAATAATAATAATAATAATAATAATAATAATAATAATAATAATTTTATTTATACCCCGCCACCATCTCCCCAACAGGGACTTGGGGCGGCTTACATGAGGCCAAGCCCAGACAACATATTACAGCAAAATAAAACCAAAACATAAGCAACAAGCATCAAAATTAAAATTACATAAAAACATATGAATACAATAACAATATAACATTACAATAAACACAATCACAGTGACAGTGGGCGGGCCACATGTGCAGGATAAAATGTTAAAAAACTCGAATGAGATAAGAAGAGGAGCAAGTTATTTACAAGAAGGAGCTCATAAAAAACACAGGGTTGTGGAACCAAACTTTCCCATTAGGGTGGGCATGTACTCCAGTGTTGTTGTTGTTATCTTATTATGTTATAGAAATCCCTAAATTAAGGAATCTCCATCTTGGACAGATTCTTTATTCTTTATGAAAGCACCCAGATGCTCAGTCAATGAATAATAATAATAATAATAATAATAATAATAATAATAATGACAATAATAATAACTTTATTCTTATACCCCACCACCATCTCCTTGAAGGGACTCAGGACAGCTTCCGTATGGGACAGAATGTCCACAAGACATAAAAGCAAAATAATCAATTACACCAAAACCACAATTAAAATAAGAACATAATGAAATATAACAATTCAGATAAAAACACAGTTAAATAAAACAAAAGACTATCAAACAGCAGCATTGAACTCTATGAAAATAATGCTTGACAAGACCCAATAACCAGAGATACTAAAATGGGCATGACCATGCTATAAAAAGGGCCGAGCATGGGGTGAAAACCTAACGTTTGCAATAAACTAAAACCTGGAGACTATAGAAGCCAGTCCTTCTTTTGCATTTGTTATTAATGAATTCATACTTACAGATACTGAATTTTGCCATATATATGAGATGCTGTAGCCTTGAAGTTCACCGTTCATCAGGGCGGCAGGGGGTTTCATCCAGGTGATTATCACAGAAGAGCTTGTCTCATTGATGGAGAGGGTGACATTCCCAGGCGGAGCAGAGGGAGCTTGACAACAAACAACAATATGCTCATCAATCTTTTTAGCATGAATATGTTTAGATGTGTAGCTATATAATAAAGAAGAAAAAGAAGGAAGGAAGTTTTGCACTCATCCCGTTCCCAGTCGTTTGTTTATTGCCTGGCCACATGTTTAGTAGCTTATTCCCATGAGTAGTGCTGTTTTTAATTGAGTGTTAGTGGATGTTTTATATGTTTATATGTTGTATTTAATTGTATTTTTAATTTGATTTTATTTTATGTTCTGTTTTTAGGCACTTTGTGCCGTGTATAATCCACCCTGGGGCCCTCCGGCAAGACGGTGGCGAGAAACAAGAATAAAGTTGTTGTTGTTGTTTGTTGTTGTTAGAAAGGGAGGGAGGGAGGGATCACTATCTAAAATAGAGGATGTACATCTATGTCCCATGGGAAAATTCAATATTCCAATCCACTATCTACTAATATTAATAAGATGGTCGTATTCATCTTGCATTTTTTCCAGTTATTAAAAAAATTGTCATTCTAAATTACCCTTCCTTCTGTTCTCCTATCTACATATTATAATACATAGATACTGGTATCATGCCAGTCCTGTAACCATTACCATTTTTCATCTATATATACTCTTATTAAGACCAATTATGTCATCCACCAGTTATTACTCCAAAAATACGGAAAGGGCTTTGGGGATGCTCAAATGCTGCATTTGGGGTAGCTCTGGAGCACAGTCCTCCAGATTATATTGGCAAGTGTAGATGCAGCCTTGGAAACAACTTGAATGTACACAACAAGAACAACAACACAGGATAGAGCTTTAGAGTAACCACATTAAAAAACAATTGTAATACAGAATAGAGTACAGCTATATGCCGTGCAAATATATTGATTACAGATTCAAGTACTGGTTATTCTGGCTGGGGTTAATGACAAAACTGGGAGGCAATGGGTTGGGGAAGGCCAGGATAAACCTAGGAAAAACTGTGTTTAACTGTCCTTCAATCATGAAGCCACCACTTGGGCCAGTTACAACATTTCATCCCATTTGCCTCTCAAGATTATTGTGATGAGAACAAATGGGAAAACACTTCCCTGCATGGCAACCCTACATTTCTTGGAAAAGAGGTTAGATTAAGCATGGGCAAACTTGGTCCCTCCAGGTGTTTTGGACTTCAACTCCCACAATTCCTAACAGCAAGTAGGTTGTTAGGAATTTTGGGAGCTGAAGTCCAAAAACCTGGAGGTCCCCGGTTTGCCCATGCCTGGGATAGATACATAAATATCTACGTAAATTAAGGGTGATCTAATTTGGGATGACTTTGTTATTGCTATAGGATTAGGCTGTTTGCTTTTCTTACCCCCTTCTGTTGTACTAGCCGTAATCCAAGGGCTAAAGCCAGACCAGCCCACTTCATTCATACAAGAAACACATATGCTATAATTCTTCAAAGGCTTCAGATTCTGAATGTGATATTGATGAGGGGGGGCAGAAGTGTTGAAGAACATCACTGAAGCATTATCCCCAGCAACAGCCTCTTTCACCTGCAATGAAAACAAAACAGATGAGCTGAGACAATACGCAAGGTGGTGCAGTAATACAGATACTGTCAGCCATCCCCATTTGCTGTGGTTAGGGGTACAGGACCCGCCCAAAAGTTGGAGAAATGCCAATAAAACCCCCAATTTTTATTCACTCTAGGAATCTCTATTTTGTGTCAAAAGCATTGCACAATACATAAGTTTTAAACTGATAAAATAAGGGTTCACAAGCTGCTAAATAATTTTGGCAAAAATGGGCAACAGCGCCCACATTGTCTGTAGCTTGAAACAGTTCTTCCTGTGTGCATGAGGCAGAGCATTGTGGACAAGCATACAGATGAAGAATTCTTTGTTCTGTGACAAGGTGGAGGATTATTCTAGGTCGTGCCATTTTGCCAGGATGTCTTTTGATCTGCCAACTCTGTTTCTGAGTCTGTTCAGGGACTTCCAAGTTGCCCATTCTTGATTTGCCCCTGGAGGAAGACCTTCATGCGGGGCCATCCAGTTGGAATTGCCTAATTTTGCTGCCCACGGGGATATTCTTGCTGTTGCTGGGGAACATTAAGAGGAGTGGTGTTCTCTGAAACTTTTCCTTGATTTGCGTCTACTGGGAGGAGGCTGATAGCCATGTAGAGGTGGCTTTCACAGTGTTCAACCTTATTTCTCTCATAATTGTGCAGCAACTTCCTGTCGCACATGGGGGGGGGGGGGGGGGGCAATGCCAGCTAGTTTATAAAGTCTATCAGGAGGCATAGGTTTAAAACATCCTGTGATTATTCTACATGTTTCATTCAGTGCTATATTCACCTACTTTGCATGGGCAGATTTATGCCAGACGGGGAAGGCATGCTCAGTTGAATAAGACAAGGCCAGGACTGATGTTCTAAATAATTTGGGGTTTTGCACCCCATGCACTATTAGTAAATTTCCACAGGATGTCATTGCATGCAGTTACTTTGTGCTTGGTGTTAGCACAGTGTTTCCAAAATGTTAGTGTTTGATCTAAGGTGATGTCAAGATATTTAGGATGGGAACAGTGCTTGAGATCTCTGTTCCTAGAGCAGAGTTATCCAGTAATCATAATACATTGAGAGAAAGAAAGAGAGAGAGAGAGAAACTGGAAGGAGAGAAGGAGGCAGGGACTGAAACAGAGAGATTGAGAGAGAAATAGAGAGATCATGAAGTATTATAGCTCAAGTAACAAAACATAATTCCACAACCTTTCCTGATGTCTGAAAAAGAAATATTATTTATTTATATTCCTCCCTTCTCACCCCACAGGCGGCTCAGGGCGGATTACAATGTACACATATATGGCAAACATTCAACATCAAAGACACACAACAGATATAGACAAATGGTCAGAGGCTATTTAACTTTTTCTGGCCACCAGGGGAGCTGTCACTTTCATCATCCATCTGTGACGCTGATGAAGTACTTCCGTATTCCCCACATGCTGGAGTGCTTTGCTGGAGTCTTTCTTATGGCCTCGTAAATTTTGTTAAATTAGCCTCCCCACACATAGGTGGTACCTAATTTTCCTACTTGACAGATGCAACTGTCTTTTGGGTTGCAAAGGTTGACAACAAGCTACACAATTGGTTGGAAGCTCACTCCAACCCGGGCTGGCTTCGAACTCATGACCTAGTGGTCAGAAGTGATTTTAATGCAGCTGACACTCAAACAGCTGCGTCACAGTCCCGGTGTGACTTTTATACACCAGGAAAGAAGTTAAATAAAAATGAACATGAAAGAAAGAAACAGTTCTCTCTAGTCAATCTGAGTCCTGCGCGCCTGTGAATGTGGAAAGCTGACTGTACAATTAAAAGCCACCTTAAGTATTTAACACAAACACTACAAACATGAAAAGAAGGTATAAGCTGCTTTAATTGCTTGCAACCACAAGGTATAGATTCAAATTTGCTTTCTGACCTATGATATATTTTCTATTTATCATAAAGTACAAAACATGTTGAACCTGCCTAGCCACACTTTGTCTTTATGACTTTATTCTTGTCTTCCACTTTGGTGCAATTATGACATAACTGGGAGGACTTTATGGCCAGTACAACTTCCTGGCAATGTGTCATGCCTTCATGGACAACATGCTTTACCACATTTGGAGGATTACCCAAATGTGCAGTGAAACAAGGCAGATGCATTTAAAATGCCAACACGTCCCCACTTTTCGTGCCACATCCCAATTCAGCTCAGAATTAATTTCATCTCAAAATTGGTAGCATTTCAGTTCTGGCAGCATTCACTAACCCGTCAGTACCAAACCCACAAGAGTGAAAAGTAAAATTAAACAAATTGATTTTTTGGCAAGCAAATAACAGAGAGTAATCATAACCAGCTTTTCCTATTTTTGGTATAATTCATTTGGAAGAAAGTCATAAATACGTTTCTGGCTCTGGTACGCTCAAAGGCAGCAAATCAGAAGTGCCAAAAGTCACTCAGTTCAAGAAAATAACCAAACCACACCACAATTAAACACTATAATTCAGAAATATGTGTAGCTCTAAAAACTGATGTGCTTTGCAGGCCTGCATACAGTTCTGGTTGGAGTAGTGACCCAGAAGAAACAAGATACAACCTATCATTAACTTGCTAATTTTTAGATAACGGTGGTCTAACAAAGTTGTTTTTATGTTTGCATGAATTTTGTTGCGTATGTAATTTGTTTATGTAAAAAAACTAAGCAATCTAGTAAGCGCAATTTTACTTTCCTGGTATAATGAAATAAAAATGTAAAGTTATTTCTGAAAGTTACTCTTAAGGTTATTTTCGGAAGCATTTTGCAGAACTTTTTCCGGTTTTAGGCCATTCCTTTCTATTCATAAAGGAGTCTTTTCCTCAAAAATGTAACAAAAAAGGAATGGAAAAGTAACAAGCAGTGGGATAAGTAATATAACAAATTTCCTTCCTTAATCATAGAATCACAGAGTTGGAAGAGACCTCATGGGCCATCCACTCCAACCCCCTGCCAAGAAGCAGGAAAATCACAATCAAAGCACCCCTGACAGATGGCCATCCAGCCTCCGTTTAAAAGCCTCCAAAGGAGAAGCCTCCACCATACTCTGGGGCAGAAAGTTCCACTGCTAAACAGCTCTCACAGTTAGGAAGTTCTTCCTAATGTTTAGCTGGAATCTCCTTTCCTATAGTTTGAAGCCATTGTTCCATTGTGTATTAGTCTCCAGGGAAGCAGAAAACAAGCTTGCTCCCTCCTCCCTATGACTTCCCCTCACATATTTATACATAGGCATCATGTCTCCTTTTAGCCTTCTCTTCTGCAGGCTAAACAATTTCAGTTCTTTAAGCCACTCCTCATAGGGCTTGTTCTCCAGACCCTTGATCATTTTAGTTGCCCTCATTTGGACACATTCCAGCCTGTCAACATCTCCTTTCAATTGCATTGCCCAGAATTAGACACAGTATTCCAGATGTGGCCTAGGAATAGAGAGGGAGCATGACTTCCCTGGATCTAGGCACTAGACTCCTATTTATGTAGGACAAAATCCCATCGGCTTTTTTGGGTGCCGTATGACATTGTTGGGTCATGTTTAACTTGTCCACAAGGACTCCAAGGTCTTTTTCACACGTACTGCTCTCGAGCCACGCGTCCCCCATTCTGTATCTTTGCATTTCATTTTTTTCTGCTTAAGTGGGGTATCTTGCATTGTTCCCTGTTTAACTTCACGATGCTAGTTTTGGCCCATCTCTTTAATCTGTTCAGATAGTTTTGAATTCTGCTCCTGTCTTCTGAAGTATTGGATATCCCTCCCAATTTGGTGTCGTAACGTATAGCAGGTGTTATTTTAAAAAACATCTTAATGAGTCATGGAATCTCTGACTTTTGCAAAATAACTTTCCAAACTTGGGGCCTGAAACTTGGAAGATTAAAGTTCACGTCTTTTCTGAACCATGAAATTCAATTGGATGCATTGAATTTCATGGTTCAGTGATGAGTTGAACTTTGGATCTTCCAAGTTTCAGGCCCCAAGTTTGCAAAGTTACATTTCAAAATAGGACTGAGACAAAAACAAGGTGGGGGGGGGGGGGAGAGAGGGTTTCCAAATATTAAGTTTACTGGAGAAAAGATGGGAAATATAATTAAATCTGCATTATTGTATTTGCAAAGCAACCAATTGTTGTTGTGTGCCTTCAGATCATTGCAACTTATGGTGACTCTAATGCAGGCATGGGCCAACTTGGGCCCTCCAGGTGTTTTGGACTTCAACTCCCACAATTCCTAACAGCCAGAGGCTGAGCCTGAGTTTTTTTAAATACTGGTAGCCAGATGCAGGCAAAACGACAGGAGAGAATGCTTCTAGAACATGGCCATACAGCCTGAAAAACCTACAACAACCTAGTAATTCTGGCCATGAAAGCCTTTGGCAATACATCTCTACACCACACTTGCTCGCAAGTGTCTCATACAGAATAGACTCCCAGCTTATTTCCGGAGCATCAGTAAGAATGTAGCATCAAATTCCATTCTCGTGACAGCGTCCGGAAAGGAAGAACACCTCCCTGTTCCTGGCACCTCCCATTGTTGGTTGAAGAAGCAGCTTATTCAGAATGCCTTTAGTGCTTGCAGAGCCTGAACTGACGTTGTGGATGTTTATTTTGAAAAGGAAATCACTCCGAGATCAAGAGAGTTCCTTTTTTGTTGTACTTCAACAGGCCGAGCTCCTCTGCTAGTAAGGCAATCCTGGCAAGGATTAATCCAAGAATTATAGACCAGTAGAGAACACTCAAAGGATCTAATATCTAGGCTGATACTCACTTGATTTGGCACAACAGCTTTTTTTCTCGAGTTTCATTTCAATGCCAAAAAGGGCAGAAGTATGTTTGTAAGTGTGCCAAAAGAGATATGGAAAATATTCCTGACCTTTCTTATGAATGAGTCCCAGTTACAGGAAATGCATGTGCTATCTGGCTCTCTGCAAAAAAAAGGGCACTTCCTTGGCTGTATTAAAAATGTAGACTGATCACAGAGGGAGCAATACACAAACACGTTCTGCGGATATGACTCTGTGCCCCTGCATTGTTCAGGGATTTGGGGTTTCCATCCGTAACGGACTTAATGCATACATTTACACTTTTGCCAAGGAGTTTTCCAGTGGTTTTCCAACCATGATGGAAAGAATTTCAGAGTGGGAAATATGCTGGGCTTACAGCACTGGCCTAGGAGAATTCATGACTATTTTAATAGTTGCAGCCTAAAAAGATGTAACTTGGTTGCTGCCCCATATAATCCAATGATTCTGTAAAAAGCAGAATTGCTAATAAGAGATAGTCGAAATAATGACATGTAAAATGGGGAATGGCAGGTACAACACTGGTATCTCTGTCTCCTTGTGCATTCATATGAATATTTGTGTACAACTATTGTTCCAATCACACTTTATTTTCCACAATCTCTTCTTGTGACACTAATCATTTCAATTAAGGAAAGCCTCCCAACTCTCAAAAATAATATGGAGCATGTTGTATGTCACCTGTTCAGTCTGTGATTGTGTTTATTTTCATGTTAATGTTCATGATGGAAATGGGGATGGTGTTCCTGATGATGGGCCTGGGGATGAGGGTTTGCTTGGGCCTGAGTTAAGTTCAGAAGAGAGGCCTGAGCTGTCTCAGGAAGATTCACAAGACCATATTCCTGGGACAGACCTTTCATTGCATTTCTCAGAGCAACTGTCTGAAAATGATGCTGAGATTGATTTGCAAGGTGCAAGAGTTAATGAAGGAGAGGATAGTGAAACATTGGACAGAAAGCAAAGGCAATCAGTTCATATACAAAAAAAGAAAGATAACAAACCGTTATCTAGTGGGAAAATCAAAAATGCATTCCTTTCAGTTTTGGGTTCTGAAAAAGGTTTATAGTGATTCATGGGAGAGAGTTGCCTCAGTCGACTCAACGTTGTTATTTTATCACAGTCTTGCTTTCAAGTGCTCTGAGTTTCATCTACCAAGTTTTTGCCAAGCCTAAGTTATGGCTATGCCTTTTCCTGCTGTTTTGTTTCATGGTTTCAAGTGCCTTGTTTCATGGATTCTGATATACTCAAGGATCTTGTTTCCCTTTGAAGCTTATGGACTATTTTTGGATTTTGGACCATTGCTGTTTTGCTATTTTGTACTGCTTTGCCTACAAATATTCTACAATAAACTGCTTGCTAATTTTACCAAGCTGGTGTGGTGTTTAATGTCAGAGGTGTTTCTGCTCTGGTGTACGACAGAGTATGGGACTCTAGCAACTGATAGACAGAGTAGGTGGGAACGTCAAATGCCTTCTGCCCCCTTTTACGGGTTGAATCCAAATAGACTTGTCAGGTCCTGAAGTCATGAGCAAAAGAGAGGTATTGTCTGTGGCTGCTAGAGTTATGAAATTCCCTTGATGCTACAAACTCACTGAAGTCCTAGCCTCAGCGTCTTTTAGAACTGTTTTGCAATCTGCTTGGGCTTTACGGTTCAGAATTAAGCCTTCAAAATGGTGCAATGACTTTGATTGTATTCTGCTGAAATAATTGTATTCTTCTTATCCACCTCAAGGCTTCTGGACAGTCAGCTATAATACAAACATTAAGAACTTTATCACACCAACATGCTGTCTTTTTTGCAATCACGTTGTTTAAGCAAATGGAAACATACCATTATTGGAATGATCTTGTCACTATTGCACAATGCTGAGACTTCGTTGTTGCAAATCCCTACAGTCAGTCTTCCACAGCTTTGCTTCCTACCCACATCTGCCTACCCAGCACATGTGATCTATGTTTATTTTTTTCTCCCCACTCCATTTTTCCACAAGTGTGAAACTGCACAGTTTCAGCTTTCTTGCAAGATTTTCCTTTGCTTTGCCATACTGGGACTGCAGTGGATGGAAATTATCTCACAGGGAAAAGTTGCGGAACAACATCAAAGCTGGATTTGTTGACAGGGTTTTTCATCAATGCAAAGAGACTATTCAATCACAATTCAAGAGCAATGTGATAATGATACAGCACCAACACCATGCTTTAAGCCTCATCAACAGGTACTATTGTCTTGATCTAATTGCACTTTAGCAGCCTCTTGCAATAAACGTATTACAAACAAAGAAATGCGAAATGGCAATCTGGCTACATCATCAGGGTAACTTTCAGTCATTGTCGTACCAATTTCACAGATGCTGACTTTCACAGCAGACTTGATTATAGTTTAGTCAGTGTGTATACTTGACTTGCATTTGCAGCCAGAATGACTCACTGTGCTTTGTCTCAACCCAAGGACTTTTGTCTAGATATGATACCCAGAATGATCATTAAGGAGGAACTGAAAGTGCCACACTTGCATATGACTGCCGGCGATGAGGAGGCAAATCCTCCCTTCCCTTCTGTATTGAACCACTCTTTGTCTTGGTGCATTTACAGGACTCTGTTTCATCCAGTCTTGAAGAAATAAAACAGACCCTCTTTCCTTTGGCCCAGAACCCATGTCAAACAGACAGCGAACAGAGATATTGCTTAACATTTCCATTCAGCATAACTTAGTTTTATTTCCAAGCTTCTCTGTGAACAGGGGTTTTGGTGGTTTTGGAACAGAACTGGGACTGTGCTGCCTGCCCTCCAGGTGTTGTGGAATTGTAACTCCCATGATCCTTCACTATTGATTGCACTGCCTAGGGTTGATGAGAAGTGAAGAAATAAAGCTGCAGACCACTGATTCAATTCGAGTCCAACATCGGCAATTCTGCCCAGGAAGGATCTCCAGCGTTTCAGCCAGGCTTCTCTCCTAAACCTTTTTGAATATTCCTCTTTGGTGTTCTTCCAGCCAAGTACTAATCAGATCCAAACCTATCTAGCTTTCAAAATGATGAGATTGGTGGAATCAGTTTGGCATGGAAATCTATATCTGGCATGCATTGCCATCCTAGTTTGTCACAAGGAGGACCAACCCAATATCCATACATTCTGCCACACTGAGAACTGAGAAGCCCTAGCCCTTGAGCGCTCCAGCTGGAGGTCAGCTGTGACCAGCAGTGCTGTAGAATTTGAAGATGTATGAATGGAGGGCAAAAGAGAGAAACATGCCAAGAGGAAGGCACGTCAAGCCAACCCTGACCGGGACCGCCTTCCACCTGGAAACCAATACCCTCACTGTGGGAGAAGATGCAGATCAAGAATAGGGCTCCACAGGCCACTTTCCTATCAGAAACACACACATATACCATAACACAGGCATGGGCAAATTTCAGCCCTCCAAATGTTTTGGACTTCAGCTCTCACAATTCCTAACAGTTTACCAGCTCATTCCTGCCACAACCTTTAAATACCAGTTGCGATATTAGATAAAAACACTATATCACCCCTCTCCAGATGCTAGTAGATTGCATGTAATTCCCAAACAATGGTAAAGGATGATAAGGTTTACAGCCCCATCAAAATCTAGTGGTCAGAGTTATCTGCATCGGTACTATGAAAATGTTAAATTTGAATTATAATGAAAACGATGATGACAATTATGATGATGGCTTACCTGGACACTGCAACTGCTCAAAGGTGAATAGCCATCTGAACCTGGGACCCAAGATACCAGTATCATGTGACCTGTGCTGTTATGGGCAGACACTTTGACAGGTGGAGATGGCATTCCTGCATGACAAAGAACAACATTTTCAGCAATACAATTCAGAATATATGTCATTGACAGTGAATTTGGACACAGCGCCAAACCACTCCAATCCAAGCATTCCATAGAATGTGGGGATGGCTATTAAAATGGGATTATAGTGCTATAACCATACAATTTGAAACACTCTGCTCCAAAACTGTTAACAGATCCAAGAAAATGTTGCTCTTGTATACAATCAAAAAGATCAGCACTTTTTTCACCACTAGGTACAATATCATATATTCATATACATCATACATATATGGAATGATTATGGAGTGGTTTCTACTATGGCTATGGATGGCATGATTTTAGTATGAAATGTAATGTTTTAAAATTTTAATATGTTATAATTTTAATCTAATTTAATTTTGATTTTTTGGAATTTTATGTGTTTTAAGGCATTGAATAATTGCTTCTATGTAAGCCACCTTGAATCCCCTTTGGGATAGAGAAAGGCAGGATATAAATGCAGTAAATAAAGAAATCATCCATAAAATATGTGGTTTGTGTATCTGGTGGACTTCAAGGATATCTTGTAGACCTAAAGCCTGTCATGGTCTGTCCCAGACAACCCTGAAAACACCACTAGGATCACTCTGGAGATGATAAACTCCTTATCAGCTAAACAAAGAAAATGTTTTTTTTTACTGCTTTGCCACAAAAATCCAATCTATTTACATGACAATTTTTTAAATGAGATTTATAGCCCCATTTTCTACATGTATTCAGAACTTCAATTAGATTCAGCGGGATTTTCTTCTTAGTAAGTCCTACTACATCACTTGAACTTACTGTACAGTATTTCTGAAATAATTTGAGGTACTTTTCTAAGCCTTAAAAAGGTGTTTCTGCAGAAGAAAAATTATTTATCAAGACCAGTAATGGCTCAATGGAATCTGGGGCCACTCTAGAGTGGAAATGTTCTGGACTGACCCTGAGTTTCATTTTACATGAAGATGAGCCCTTAGTGAGGTAGAAAACATGGACAAACCCAACTAGAGGGAGATGATGGATAGTGATCCGCCTCAGGGCCCAACACAGAAGGTAAAAGTAGTCAAAGGCAGATATTTCAGGACCATGGTCAGAGCCGGGGGGTGGGGGAGGAGTCGTTCCAATGAGTTCTTGGTCACTACAATGGAGAATGTTGACCACAGAGTAACACTGGAAGAGCTAGTGACTCCAAGAAAGACCACTTACCTAGCCATTTGTAAGTCTAGACCAGTGTTTCTCAACCTGTGGGTCCCCAGGTGTTTTGGACTACAACTCCCAGGAATTCCAGCCAGTTTACCAGCTGTTAGGATTTCTGGGAGTTGAAGGCCAAAACATCTGGGGATCCACAGGTTGAGAAACACTGGTCTAGACATTTGTAGGTCTTGTAAGTAAGATCTATTCAATGATCAACTTCTGACAGAAGACCTAGAAGTTCCTAGAGGTGTGTTTCTGAGGATCAAGACATGTAGATTTGTTTATACACTATTCTCCACTTTTGCCCCTAACCCCCGCAAAAGAGAAAGGCCTACAATGCACATCTTTGTTTCTGGTTCTGATTATCCCATTCAGGCATCCATACTGTTGGAATGCTGAGTCTTAAAGGAACAGGGTCTTAGTTAGCTTCTAATTAGACTATTGTAATGTGCTCTATTTAAAGCCAATCTCGAAAAGTTTTTGAAGTTGTTGTTCCTTTTAAATATATGTCTACATCCCAGGGGACTTCCGGCAGTGTCAGTGTCCATGTCTAGACCCAACATGTTCTTGTGTGTATAGATCACTGCTGGAAAATGGCTTCTTACTTAAACGAGGAGAGAACCGTTGATTGGCCTTCTCACAATCTGTACTGATAAGATTTGTCTAGAATAATAGAGACAATTTCAAATTTGTTATTACTGACCTTTGATATTGATTCGAGCTTCAGTAGATGTTGTGACTCCCTTCTCGTTATGAGCTTCACAATGGAAAATAGCAGTTTCGTTAAGACCTGTGAATAAAAGGAAGCAACACAAACTCAGACTGGCAGTGGCGCATTTCTTGCTAGCGCTAGGAAAAGTTACTTTTTTGGAAAAGTTACTTTTAAAAAAATCTTCCAGATTCCACCTAACCAGTTTCTATAGCTACATTCCGTAGAATCATAGAATCATAGAAGAGACCTCATGGGCCAGCCAGTCCAACCCCCACCAAGAAGCAGGAAAATCACATTTAAAGCACCCCCAACAGATGGGCATCCAGCCTCTGTTTAAAAACCTCCAATGAAGAAACCTCCACCACACTCTGGGGCAGAGAGTTCCACTGCTGAACAGCTCTCACAGTGACAGTCTAATGTTCAGGTGGAATCTCCTTTCCTGTAGTTTGAAGCCATTGCTCCGCATCCTGGTCTCCAGGGCAGCAGAAAACAAGCTTGCTCCCTCCTCCCTATGACTTCCCCTCACATATTTATACATGTCTCCTCTCAGCCTCACATTTATCTAGGACAGGGGTCCTCAAACTAAAGCCCGAGGGTCAGATGCGGCCCTCCAAGGTCATTTACCCGGCCCTCGCTCAGGATCAACCTAAGTCTGAAACGACTTGAAAGCAAATAACAACAACAACCCTATCTCATCAGCCAAAAGCAGGCCCACACTTCCCATTGAAATACTAATACATTTATATTTGTTATAATTGTTCTTCATTTTAATTACTGTTTTGTTTTTAAGGGTTTTTTGCACTACAAATAAGATATGTGCAGTGCGCATAGGAATTCATTCATGCTTTTTTCAAATTATAATCCAGCCCTCCAACAGTTTGAGGGACTGTGACCTGGCCCTCTGTTTAAAATGTTTGAGGACCCCTGATCTAGAAAATAAAGGCGAAGAAAAGTAACATTCTTAAACTCTGGTGCAAAGTGTGGTTATGTCACAAAGAAAAGTCATCCAATCCATTTCTTTTCCAGATTGGCTTGTTTCTTTTAGACCACAATAAATAAATAAATTTCCAAGTGTCGTTTTACAGTTGGAATAAACATCTCCTTAAATCCAGCACTTCTCTAACCGCAGGGGAGGCACTTCATGGGAAAGGATAGCTGCTTTTGTTTTGCACTTTAAAAAACAGTCTTTTCTCTGCCAAAAATGTGAGTGAACTCTTTGACAGAACTATTTTAAAACCTGCTCGTGCCTTTGGCTGAGGCTCTGGCTGACCAGCAAACACAGCTGTGAAATGGAAAAGTTTAGCAAACAGGTTATTACAGTGCATGGGAGAGACATGATTCAAGAGGATGTGTGCCTGTTCTCCAGGCTTACCAGACCTCATGCCACCCCAAAGGTAGTGTATTACTTTTCCAATCAGCCCCATAGTTATGCTGTTTGAGATTGTGGGATTTTTAATCCATAACCTCTGGAACAAACAGAATTGAAATGGCTGTTTTAGTGTATCTGAGGGCATCTCTTATTCTACCCATGTCATGCATTAATGGGCACACCCATGACTATCTGCCATTTTGCATACTACAACTGTCAATATATCTTCTGAATTTGAGCAGCACAATGAAAAGCAACCTACATTTTCCAAGTTCATTGTTTATACAATTCCAGAGTTGGAAGAGACTCAAGCCAGGCCATGCTGTGGTGCAGTAGGCTAGGAGTGAGCTGCATTAAATCACCACTGGCCTAAAGGTCATGAGTTCGAAGCCAGCCTGGATCGGAGTAAGCTCCCGACCATTTGTCTAGCTCGCTGTTGACCTTTGCAGTCCAAAAGACAGTTGCATCTGTCAAGTAGGAAATTTAGGTACCGCTTATGCAGGGAGGCTAATTTAACTAATTTACGACGCCATAAAAAATCTCCAGCAACGGGCAAAAGAATGAGGAAGCACTCCATCAAGAATCGGGGTCACAAGTGGACAGTGATGCGACAGCTCCCCCAGTGGCTGGAATTCGAGCATACCCTCATGAAGCTGGAATGACAAATTGCCTGTGTTTGTCTATATATGTTGGGTGTCTATGACACTGAATTTTTGCCATGTATGTGTACATTATAATCTGCCCTGAGTCCCCTGCGGGGTGAGAAGGATGGAATAGAAATACTGTAAATAAATAAATAAATAATAAATAAAAAAACCTGCCATGCAATAATACACAATCAAAGCACTCTTGACAGATGGCCATCCAGTAAAAATATCTGAAGAAGGAAACTCCACAAAGCTCCAATATAGCATATTCCATGTCTGAAATCCTGTTACTATTAAAAGGTCTCTGGATCAGCACAAAAAAAGCTTTCCCCCTCCTCAATGTGATGTTTTTTCAAATATTTAAACATGGCTATATCTCCTTTTAACCATCTCTTCTCTAAGCTAAACATACTCCACTCTATGAGAGTGGTGTCTTCTTAGAGGGTCTTTCTCTCTCTCTAGGAATCTCTACATTCCTCCCAGATAATGCTACAATCAACTTGAGGGACCGTATTTCCTCCTAGCAGCCCTCTTGTGCCCTGAGATAATCAGGAGAGGCACTGCTCTCGGTCCAACCACTATCCCAAGTGTGGTTGGTGGGAACGAGACAGAGGGCCTTTTCGGTGGTGGCCCCGCGGCTCTGGAATCCCTTTCTAGAGGGGTGCAATCTGCCCTCTCCTTACTGGCCTTTTGATCTCAAATTAAGACCTTCTTATGGATCCAGGCTCTCCCAGATGAATGATAATAATCAACTTCCAGTTAATTATCAGTAATATCCACCTCTTAAATGCTTTGTTGGACCTGGCAATGTGACATGGCCTAATGAAAATGGAGTCTTTTTAGGATAAACTGTTTTACAAATAATCTCAGTGTCCAGAAGTTAGGGAATTTTAGTGGTATATGTTGTAAGTTATTAATTTATTGTTTATGGTTTAGGTAATTGGGTATGTGCATTAATTGTTTTATGATGTCTTGTTGGATGTGTATTTTTTTTGTAATTTCTGATTTTTTAACTACTGTATGCCACTTTTGAGTCCCACCCATGGGAGAAAAGTAGGATAAAAATGAATGAATAAATAATAATAATAATAATAATAATAATAATAACTTCCAGAGGGCTTAGAGATTCCTAAAGATAACATTTTGATCAAAGTCAGATCCACAAGTGTGGAGAACAGACTCAGACAAAGTTGGGCAACTTTCCCAAACTCTCCCTAAATTAGGCTATGAAACCATAGAGAATGCCACCTCATTGCTAGTCCTTCTGGAATGGCAAAAAGGTATCCTCCTGTCCTTTAATTCATGCAGCAATCTGTCTTGAGATGGTTCTGCTCTGACTTGTACCTTTTGCTTCTCAAGAAGGAGCAAAACCAAAAGCAGCTCAGTTATCTTTTTGTTACTTCAGTAAATAGGAAACCTTTTCCTTATCAGGAATCAGAGCTATTATGTTTCATCCTTCTTTTGTTTCTTGTTAGTAAACTCTGTTCAAGTCCCATTGAAAAGAATGGAAGCTGTAACACTTGGACAGAATATGTTCTGTGGTTTGGACACTGTCAGGAACTGCCACTCTGTATTTTGTAAGTCTGGATGGTGGCTGGAAAAAGATATTTGTAGGCAGCTGGGGTGAGGGTTTTGTTTGAAAAGGCAACTTCCTGCCAGACATAAATAAACAGCAAGAGCTTTAAAAGAATCCTAATGCTTAAGAACATCTTTAGGCTTGTCCAAGGCACATCTCCATTGGAGAATTAAAGCAGTTTTGACACTACAGTAAGTATTTCCATGCACCTTGCAAGGATGTAGTATAATTTCTTAATATAAGAATTTTCTATACATTCTATTTGACTAGTTTTGTAAAGATACATATCCTAGAAGAAAAATGGGCAAAGTGCAGAACATGGGACCAAATGCAACCCCAAAGGTTGTTTTCATGAGAGGCACCATAAATGGCCTTTTTCCTTATGAGAGTTGCACTTTTACAAGCTCTTTAGCCTTCTCTACTCGAGAGGGTTGGTGCTCTTAAAGCTATAGTTCACATGCTGCCATAGCATCAAGCCATGGCAGTTAAAATAGTATCAAAACTGCTTTAATTCCCCAATGGAGATGCACCCAAAGAGCAAGGAAAGCAAAAGTTACTGGTTTCTCAACAGAAACAGTTTTGCATTTCTTCATTCCCTCACCTTGGTCTAACACAGTGGTTCTCAATCTTCCAATTGCCGCAACGCCTTAATACAGTTCCTAATGTTGTGGTGACCCCAACCATAAAATTATTTTCGTTGCTACTTCGTAACTGTTATTTTGCTACTGTTATGAATCATAATGTAAATATCTGATTTGCAGGATGTATTTTCATTCATTGGGCGAAATTTGGCACAAATACCCAATACACCCAAATTTGACTTCTGGTGGGGTGAGGTGGGAGGATTGATTTTGTCATTTAGGAGTTGTAGTTGCTGGGATTTATAGTTCACTTACAATCAAAGAGCATTCTGAACTCCACCAACAATGGAAATTAAACAAGCTTGGCACACAGAACTCCCATGATTAACAGAAAGTACTGGAAGGATTTGGTAAGCATTGACCTTGAGTTTTAGAATTGTAGTTCACCTACATCCAGAGAGCACTGTGGACTCAAACAATGATGAATCTGGACCAAACTTGACAGGAATACTCAATATGCCCAAAATGTGAACACTGGTGGAGTTTGGGGAAAATAGACCTTTGGGAGTTGTAGTTGCTGTGATTTATAGTTCACCTACAATCAAAGAGCATTTTGAACCCCACCAACGATAGAATTGGGCCAGACTTCCCACACTGAACCCCCATGACCAACAGAAAATACTGTGTTTTCGATGGTCTTTGGCGACTCCTCTGACACACCCTTGCGACCCGCCTGGGGTCCCGACCCCCAGGTTGAGAAACACTGGTCTAGCAATAATATCAGCTCATTTCAGAAATAATCTTATGGCAATTTCTTGTTAATTATTAGAATTCACAACTTTTCTCCACCTTGGTGTCTGTCTCTTAAACCCTGCATATAATTTTATTAAGGAAATGGGGTAAATTGCACACACAAAAATGGTGAAACGCCTGCCACATGCTGGAATATTGAAAGAATTTTTTGCAAAGACTTTGATTTAAAAAAGGAATGAGGAAAAAAAAGCAAGCACCGTCATCAGCAACCACATAAGCCACACAATATCCTGGTTTCTAAGGATTCCTTCTACGAGTGTTGCGCTTCAAAGGATGATGTGTGACTCTCAAACTATTTTTAAAAACCTCGGTTCCCACAGACTGTCTTTTAGAAAGGGAACTCTATGTGTGGAATTGTGGGTTAGGCTAGGGAGAAACACAAACTCAATCCCCCAATTTAGATTTTGTAGGCCTTTGGTCTTGTTTAGTCTTGTTGCTACTTCCCTTCACATTTTGTCTTTAGCTGTTACAAGCTGATACAATTAACCCTGCACTTCATAGACTTGATTATAATGTGATTATAAAAATGATTATAATCTCTAAGTCCTCCAGAGTGATCTGATGGTCAACTTACTCCAGTCATGCTGGAAGACCTAAAGGTCACCTCTCTAGAATGTCCTCCTATGTGATTCTATGGTCAGCTTCAGGCAGAAGCTGATCAGAAAGTCATGTTGGAAGACCGAAAAGTTCCTAGAAAGATGTCCTCTAAGGTTAAAAAATTAGTGATTTATTTATCACTTCCACTGCCTATGTCCCTGACCCCACTGGTTGGGGAAAGCTGACTGTAGTAGCATATAGGCAAATGTTTGTTACAGTATTTCTATTCCACAACTTGGGGATCACAACCAGATATAGTCAAGACATCTGCCCTTGCACTTTGCTACTCTGCTGCTGAGTATGCATGCCCAGTGTGGAACACATCTCGCCACGCTAAAACAGTGGATGTGGCTCTTAATGAGACATGCTGCATTATCACAGGATGTCTGCGCTCTACATCACTGGAGAAATTACAGTTTAGCGAAAGGACCAAGGTAGTGACATCTCCGGCTCACCCCCTGTTCAGATATCAGCCAGCACGCCAATGCCTTAAAACAAGAAATAGTTTTCTAAGATCTACAGAGATACTCGCAGGAACGCCTCAGCAAGCGAGAGTCCAAAAGTGGCAGATTGAAACCCGGAACCTCGATTCATGGCTGATACCAAATGAAAGACTCCCTCCTGGGCAGACTTGGAAGGCACTGAACAGACAGTGCTCTGGCACCACAAGATGCAAAGCCAACTTTAAGAAATGGGGTCACATGTGAGTGTGGAGAAGAGCAAATCACAGATCACCTATTACAATGCAGTCTGGGCCCTGCTACATGCACAATGGAGGATCTCCTTATAGCAACACCAGAGGCACTCCCAGTGGCCAGCTACTGAACAAAGGACATTGAATATAATGCCAAGTTTTTAAACTTCGTATTTTTTTAAAATACATTACGACTGTACCCTTGGTTCGCTCCTGATACAATAAATAAATAAATATTCCAAAAGATTGCTCCAGGCACTGCCAGGCAATGCTAATCAAGGTGATCAGTTGAAACATTCACACCTAGCTCCAGCAGACAAGAGTCCTTTGTCCCACCCTGGTCATTCCACAGATATATAAACCCCTTTATCCTAGTTCCAACAGACCTCACTACCTCTGAGGATGCTTGCAATAGATGCAGGCGAAACGTCAGGAGAAAATGCCTTTAGAACATGGCAATATAGCCCGAAAAAACCTACAACAACCCAGTGATTCCGGCCATGAAAGCCTTCGACAATACCTTCAATATTCCATCTTTAAATATCCTCCATGCAACACAACCAGATCCAACTGAAAGAACATTAGCAAAACAGGAACACTGGAAGTTTAATCTAGTACTACATCTCAGCACAATGTTCTCTACACTGATTAGCAACAGCTCTCTATGGCTTTCTACAGAGAACAAGAGATGGTCCTTGAACTTTTAATAGTTGTCTGGAAGAAGAAATTTCAGCAGGTGTCATTTGGCATCAATCAGGTAAAAGGCAACCTATGATTAAATTTGCTTTTCTTATTAACCAATAAAGGTACATAAGCCATCTCTATAGAATCATAGAGTTGGAAGAGATCCTCATGGGCGACCCAGTCCAACCCCATTCTGCCATCGAGTAATATGTACATCATCAACACAATCCCAACAGATGGCCACCTGTTTAAAACCTTCCAAAGAAGGAGGCTCAGGGCCCTTCTAGACAGGCCCTATATCCCAGGATCTGATGCCAGGTTTTCTGTTTATTCCAGATTTTTTTTGGCAGTGTGGACTCATATAATCCAGTTTAAAGATCCTTGGATATGGAGCCCATCTGGAAGGGCTCTCAACTCCAAGGCTGAATATTCCACCATCCAATAGCTAATGCTATGAGGACATTATTTCTAATATTCAGGTGGAATTTCTTTTCCTGAACTTTGAATTAATTGCTCCATGTATTAACCTCTGAACCACTAGAAAACAAGCCTGCTCCATCTTCAATATGACATCCTTTAAAATATTTCACCATGGCTGTCATGTCACCTCTTCACCTTCTCCAGGCCAAAAATACTCGACTCCCTAAGCTGTTTCCAGACCTTTGTCCATTTTGCTCACCCTCCCTTGCAACCCTACAGACCTCACAACCTCTGATGATGCTTGCCATAGATGCAGGAGAAATGTCATGAGAGAATGCTTCTAGAACATGGCCATATAGCCCAAAAAACCTACAACAACCCAGCTCTCTCTTGTCTCAAAAAGTGTTCTTTCCCACGCTACTACTTCTTTCAAATCTTCATTTTCTTCAATGAGAGATGTCAGAATCCTCCACACAGCACAGCCAATGGCCACACTGGCTTGAGGATACTAGGAGACCTAATTACAGTTGCATCTATATTGTGTAGTTTGGGATATGTAGTTTGGTGAGGCACCAGCAATCTTTGGCAGAGAAGGCCAAAGACCTTGTAAATCTACAGCTCCCGTTTTTCCACAGCACTGAGCCATGGCAGGTAAAGTGGTGCCAAACTGTATTAATTCTACAATGTAAATGCACCCCTAAAGAGTAATGATCCCAAACTGCCTGTAAAGCCAGTCTCTTCCAGAGAATAGTCAATTGCACCGCAAAGGCAACACTTTAAAATCGAAGGAATAATAAACCAACAGTTAAGTGGGCAGTACACAAATGCCTCATGTCAAATAAAATGTGTTAATCTTTAAGGTATTACAAGACTCCTGGAAGTTTTTGCTGAAACACATTAAAACACACCTGCCCACCTCTATCACTGCTCTGCTCAGAAATAATAACAGAATAGGTCTCTAGGTTGGTGTGAATTTTCCAGGTTGTATGGCTATGTTTCAGTTTCAGAAGCATTCTCTCCTGATGTTTCACCCACATCTATGGCAGGCGTCCTCAGAGGTTGAGACCCTTCAACCTCTGAAGATGCTTGTTATAGAGGTGGATGAAAGGTCAGGAGAGAATGCTTCCAGAACATGGCCATACAGCCCAGAAAACTCAAAGCAACCTAGTGATTCCGGCTATGAAAGCCTTTGACAACACAGAGTAGGTCTCATCAATACAACCAGCGATGTGAACATATACAGCAAGCCAGAGAGTTTCTTTTCAACTAATTGATCATTAGATTTTTGGACAGAATTCCCAAGGAGAATTTCAAAATGTCCCTGCTTCAGTGCAGAATAAAAATTAATCAGCATACAAAACACACATGTTGGAAGCACAGCAGTACTTTGCATACCTGGCACAGTCAAGACAGATGGAGATATTTCTTTCGTAGCAATGAGGCTGCTATTCCAATGCCAGCGAATCTCAACAGGCTCAGGAGGTCCCACCGCTTTGCAGGTGAGATTGAACGGTGTGTTTCGGGTAACATTTAGCCCCTGCGGCTGTTTAATGAAGTAGGGCAGTCCTGCATCCAACAGAAAGGAATGAGTTATTGGGAAGGCTTAAAAGGAAAAGAGAAAGACAGGAACTAGCATGCCCTTTCTCTAATCCAGGCCTGGGCAAACTTTGGCCCTCCGGGTGCTTTGGACTCCCACAATTCCTAATAGCCTATCGGCTGTTAAGAATTTTGTTAGTTGAAGTCCAAAACACCCGGAGGGCCAAAGTTTTCCCATGCTTACTCTAACCTGACACCTTCTAGATTGGAATGAGCAAAGTCAAGTCCCTAGGCAAAGTGTGGCCTACAGGACCCTTAAACATGGCACATGGGACCAACCCCCGGCCCTCAAAAAACCCCTAGATTGCCCCCTCCAAAGTGTTCCAAATGTCCCAAACTTCCTTTAAAAGATAGCAATATGGAGGGCTACATCCAGCCTGCTGGCCGTAGTTTTGGGGCCCCAATCTACAATGTAAAATGAATGCAGTTTGACACTTGCACTGCCATGATCAGTGCTATGGAATCCTAGTATTTGTAGTTTGCTGAGACAACAGCACTTTGGAAGAGAAAAGCTAAAGACCTTGTAAAACTACAACTCCCAGGATCCCATAGCATAGAGCCAAGGCAGTGAAAGTGGGTTCAAACTGCATTTATTTGCATTTATTAACCTATAGACAGTTCCTTTGAAATTCAGAATAATGCTAGGAGCTATACTCATTGCTAGCCATTTATTCCTTGGCTAAGCCATTTATTCCTTGGCTAGAACTTATACGAGGCATGGGCAAACTTCAGCTCTGCAGATATTTTGGACTTCAACTCCCACTATTCCTAACAGTAGGCTGTTAGGAATTGTGGGAGTTGAAGTCCAAAACACCTGGAGGCAGGCATGTAGCCGGGGGGGGGGCTTGAGGGGCTTCAGCCCCCCCCAAATTCTCATGGTGGTTCGCGAAAAGGCCTTACTGGTGCATTATTTAAACTGTTATGTTTATCCATATCATGATCTGATCACCATACTCAATATATCCCATATGCATGGGGGTATTGGGGTAACGATACAAAAGGTTTGCTAGGCTAGACCCTCTTTCACTCAGACTCAGCCCCCCCCGAAACTCACCCCCCCCCCGAACCCCCTGAAAAAAATTCCCCCCCCCCCCCCCCCGAAACGAAATCCTGGCTACGGGCCTGCCTGGAGGGCCAAAGTTTGCCCATGACTGATTTATACCATGCCTTCCTCATGTCAAAATGATACCAAAGGACAACAATTCAACAGCAATATCTCGAATGCTTTCGAATCCGAGCTTACCTTCAAACAAAACCAAAATAGGATCTGATACTATTTCAGTGTTATTAACTTTCAATTTGCAACTGTAAGACCCATTATCAGCGCGCTGGATATTGTTGATACTGCAGGAAAAAAGAGAAGCAAGAAAGACTTATAAGGCAATCAGTGTTGACTGTGGGACTTCGCCACAAAAGGAAGAAGTCCAAAATAATTCTGCATTATTTGGGGACTGATCAAAAATAAATATGGCATGAATCCACATGGAAAAGATGTCCTGGGAATAACCTAGCTTTTTGCTGGCATTCTGAAAACTGAAGAGTGTTCCCATCCAGATCAGTGACCAGCTGTACTGCTTATAGTTAAGTGAAGCACTAACACTCTTTGGCAAAGAAGGCTGAATACTTTGTTAAACTACATCTCCCAGGATTCCATACCACTGAGCTATGATAGTTAAAGTAGTGTCAAACTGCATTCATTTGATGCACCCTTAGGGCTGAAATGGAGAGCTACTCCACCAGCTGTGCCTCAAATGACCCCTGAGAGAGCAACATAGTAAGGACAAATAGGTCCAACACCAGAGTCTCGGCTGGGAAGGGTATTCTGAAACCCATCAAAGCTGGCACTGATGACTACGCTATGTTTTCTTTCTTCTTATATTTTATAGTTAGGATGTAGGTAAGGGACATATATATGTATGAGATGGTCAATCTATGATTCCATTTAAAGAAATATATTTGCCCACCAAAATAATATGGTATATCTTTCCAAGAGAGCTGGTTTCACATCAGAGCGAATTACAGGGAGTGAATTACAGGGAGCAGTCTACCCCTCTGTTTAAGGAGCTCCACTGGCTGCTTTTTATTTTCTGGTCCCAATCCAAGGTGCAGGTTATCACCTACAAAATGAATGGTTTGGGACCCGCCTACCTTTGTGACCGCATTTCCTTCTACAAACCTGCATGATCCCTTCAATTTTCAGGGGAGGCCCTCCTCTCGCTCCCACTTCCGTCATAAGCTTGACTTGTGGGGACGAGGGAGAGGGCCTTCTCTGTGGTGGCCCCTTGACTTTGGAATTCGCTACCCAGAGAGATTAGGCAAGCACCCACCCTGGCAGCCTTTAGCAAAAGCCTAAAAACATGGCTGTTCCGGTGTGCCTTTGAGAAATGAACAACAAATCCCCATACCATGACCAACTCAGTACAAAATGTCCTTCAATGCGCTTTACCTCATCCTTTAGTGAAATTAAACCCCATGGCTTGTCCCATCTGAACCTCCCACCAGATACACTACCTCAACGGGGTTTTTATAGTTTTATCCCTTACAATTGGCCCAGCCCACTGTGCTCAATTTTTTGTCATTTTATTTTATACCCTGTGTTTATTTTGTATTATTTTGTTTTGTTTACATTTTATTTGATGTATTATTTGTTGTATGTACTCCTTTTGCTTTGTTGTAATTGTTGGGCTTGGCCTCATGTTAGCTGCCTCTGTCCCCTTGGGGAGATGGTGGTAGGGTATAAATAAAGTTATTATTCTTCTTCTTCTTCTTCTTATTATTATTATTATTATCATCAGAGTAGAGGAGCCCCCGGTGGCGCAGTGGGTTAAACCCCTGTGCCAGCAGGACTGAAGACCAATAGGTTGCAGGTTCGAATCCGGGGAGAGGTGGATGAGCTCCCTCTGTCGGTTCCTGCTCCTCATGCGGGGACATGAGCGAAGCATCCCACAAGGATGATAAAAAACATCAAATCATCTGGGCGTCCCCTGGGCAACGTCCTTGCAGATGGCCAATTCTCTCACACCAGAAGCAACTTGCACTTTCTCAAGTCGCTCCTGACACGACAAAAAAAAAATCAGAGTAGCAAAAGCAAAATATCTGCTGGAGTTCTGAAGGGGCTATGGTTTGACTAGGGGCACATCTACACTGTAGAATTAATGCAGTTTGACACCATGGCTCAGTGCTTTAGGAGATGTAGTTTTACAAGGTCTTTAGCCTTCTCTGCCAAAAAGTGCTGGTGCTTCACCAAACTACAACTCCCAGGATTCCTGCTACTTATATGAGACTGAAGGCTATGTGGAACGAGCCATTCCACAAGGAATTTGTCATAATAGGATACTGTCAAGGGAGTGTTAGTGCACTATATATATATATCTGGCTGAAGAATGCAATATGTTCAAGGTTCAAATAATATTTAAGTTGTTTACCGGAAGGCGGATGTCATAGAAATATACTCATTATCATCAAATTGGTAATGCTGGCTGGCCATCCTATCAGCATGAAGAAGCTCTTTTCCATTCTTCCACAAGGAAATAGTTGCATAATCGTGGTTAATTAGTGATCTAGGAACTTTGATAGAGCAATTAAATTTGACGTCCATATGTTCAGCAATTGGTATCTTTCCTACTGTAGGGTTAAATTTAATGGCTTGAAGAGGGTGGGCTCCATCGCCTTCAGGAGTGGTGAATGTATTCGCTTTCCCAGTCCTGGAGTCCATTGGAGGGGCTGAGGGATACATTATGGAAGTCTTGACAGGAAGTGAACGAGAGAATCGGTGGACCATCTTTGCCTCCTCCTCTAAATGTAAACTTGCCATTGACAGTGATGTGTCAGACCGCTTTGCTCCTTCAATGAGATCTGCAAATTAAGATATACAGCTGAGACAGAATCACGCAATCATAGAATTGAAAGAAACCTCTGCTAGTATTTGTTATATAGATAATTGCTTATTGCTTCTCAAGCCTCTGCTAGTATTTGTTATATAGATAATTGCTTACTGTGTTGTATGTGAGTAGGGGACTCAGGTCGGCATCCCAACCAGAAACAATTCAATGCCCAACAAACAAACAGATTCCAAAAAATAACAATTGCAATTGTACCTAATCTCTTTGTTGTGAGAGGAGCTGCAGACCATGTAATCAGAACTGGGCATGTTCAGGACTCAGACTCCATTTTAATTTGTAGATGCTTTTAGAATTCAATAAGAACAGTTTGCTTTGAGAAGCCATGTAGAAAAGTGTGCCTTTAAGAAGACTGCAGGAGTAGAAGCCATTAGACCAGTGGTTCTCAACCTGGGGTCCCCAGATGTTTTTGGCCTACAACTCCCAGAAATCCCAACCAGTTTATCAGCTGTTAGGATTTCTGGGAGTTGAAAGCCAAAAACATCTGGGGACCTCAGGTTGAGAACCACTGCATTAGACTCTTAGAGAGAGTAGACACCATCTGTATGCTTTAGACTTCACTGCAGGAACACTATGCTTAGTGACTTGTTAGACTCTCAAAAACAGAGTTGCTTTGAACTATGGACTATTGTTTCCAAGGAATATATCCTGTGTTACCTACAAAGAGAAACTACAAAATCCTGTTGTAACTGGATTCACAAGCAAAGTACCTGTATGCTGTACACATGAAGCTTTGTGATTAAACCAACTCTGTTACTTTTAAAGAAGACTACTTATTTTGTCTTTTGAGAGCATGATTTAAAGACTAATATATTTTAAGAAGGAGTAGATTTTTTTGGGGCAACTAAAAGAACACTTCTGGAACTCTGCTGTATTTATTTCCAAAAGGTCATTTGACCAGTGGTTTTTCCAAAAAGGTTATGAATCTCATTTCCCAAATGGTTATGGAGATTTACATTTTCCAAAAGTCCAACACCATTCTGCCATTCAGAAACACACGATCAAAGGACTCCCAACATATGGCCACCCATCCTCTGTTTAAAAACCTCTAGATAAGGTAGCACCAACCTCATCCCTGTGCCATCAATTTGCCATCCTTTCTTAAACAAAGGGTTGTGGATTGCAATGCATGTGGAGATGGGGAAGCACACCAAATCAACAAAATACTATCTTCAGAAAATCTAAATTCCTACAAGTTGAAATATTATTAATAATTAACTAGGATTTTGCTTGAACTTTGCCTTTGCAGAATTTTGGCAATTAATCTGTAATTTTGATAGGCTGCTCAAGGAACTTCCATCAAAACTGCTCAAGTTTAAATGCCAAATTGCTCTCAACAAGCATGAATGATTTCCTTGCAGTTCAAACAAAGCAGACAACGCGAGAACAACCCCAGCAAGCTTCAATTAGTAAAAGATTTGTAAAAGGATAATGCAGAAGATTTATGGGCTTCATTTCTGGCTTACTCAAAGCCAAATTAGCAATTGCTAAATACTTAGAACTTCCATGGTTCTCCCAGAACTGGAACTAAAAAAACAAGATGCCATTAAAATAAGTTATAATATTAAACGCAGACACAACAAAAATGTGCAGGACAACATGACAGCACTGTTCGTTGCTCTGCTGAATAAAGAGTGATGAGAGGAAAATCTGGTCTTGGGATTCCAATTCCATATGCAAAATATCAACAGAGGCTTTGTCTGAGTTACAGTAAATCAATCTAAATCAATTCTGCCATAGACATAATTTGAAATATTATTTCTGTTTCTGTCTCATGGTTTTTAAAGCTTTTCATTTTATTAACATTCAAAACCTGGTCTCCAGAGCTGTACTCCAATGCTGAAATCATTACAGCACACTGGCAAATTTCTATTTTCTAAATATACCTGCAACTGAACAACTATTACTTTGTTATTATTTGTATCCAGTTTTGCATCTCAATCACAGAGATAGAAGCAGGATAAAAACAAATATATCATCATAATTGTATTTGTATTTATCCCGTCTTTCCTCCGACATTGAAATTTAGCATAGTCAACAGGGAATCAAAGTGGCTCATCCTCATTATGAAACTTTCGTTTGGTAATACTCTACTGCGCCAGACCCTATTTGATCTCAGAAGCTAAGCAGTACTTTGGTGGAGACTTAGGTGGGAGACAGTCAATTAATACAAGGTGCTATGGGCTACTCCTTAATGTGGATGAGGTCTTTGTTTTTATGGATACACTTGGGCACTTTGGCTTTTAATTAACTTATTTATGGAATGTGTTTTAATGTGTTTTCTCCTTTCAGAAAGGAAGAAACCATGAAAATGAACAAAATCTGGCTACCAGTATTAAAAAACTCTAAAATTACAACAGCAACACAACAGAGAGGAAACAAACAAGGACATCTAATCACCTCTCAACAAAAGATTGCCCAAGGCACTGCCAGGCCATCAAATGCTAATCAAGGTGGTCAGTTGAAACATTCACACCTAGCTCCAACAGACAAGAGTCCTTGGTCCCACCCTGGTCATTCCACAGATATATAAACCCACTTTCCTTGTTCCAACAGACCTCACTACCTCTGAGGATGCTTGCCATAGATGCAGGCGAAACATCAGGAGAGAATGCCTCTCGAACATGGCCATATAGCCCGAAACAACATACAACAACCCAGTGATTCCGGCCATGAAAGCCTTTGACAATACATTGTTTAATTAATGTTTTACTGTTGATTGTTTAACAGTAGTCCAAAACACCTGGAGGGCCAAAGTTTGGCCAAGCCTGGCATATATACTCACATACACATATAAGAACCAGCACAGTGTAATGATTTGAGTATTATATTAAGAGTACAGGAGATCTGAGTTGTCACTCAGCCGTGGAAACCCACCTTGGGCAAGCCATACTTTCTCAGTCTCAGAGAAAAGCAATGGCAAGCCCTCTCTGAAAGCATTAGGATAGGGCTACCAAAAGCCAAAAACACCTTGAAGGCACACAATGACTGCAACAACAAAGCCCTACGCTGCTAACACACAAAAGTTACTAAGGCAGAAAAGAGACTCAAGAAAAACCCATTTCACATGAAGGGGAATTGAAATCATGCCTACTGTCTTTGTTCCTTTTTTAATGAACTCATTGGATGGTAGGAATACCATACATGGGCAAGTTGAGTGTGCACAGAGTTCTCTCCCTTTTAGTGGGTATCCTGCAAAATGATGGCTCCCTGCGCATGCCATATAAAGCTCACGAGCGTACATTTGTATGTTCCTCGGCTTAATTTGCAGAGAAGGAAACAGAAGGTCCGATCTGCTTACATTCTCCATTTGCTCCCTCCTTGTCTTCCATTAAATTGATCTGTATTTACGCTATGATTCTACCAGAATCCAGCCTCCCTTTAAAGTTATAGTGGGTGGGAAACTCCGTTTTTTAAAAAATGAGGCCCAGTGGTCACAACAGGGAACTTTTTGTTATGTGTCCTCCTTGTGCCCCATTTCAGGAGAAGAGGCTGAAGCATAGATCTCCCATAGAAATCCCCCTTAGAATCATAGAGTTGGAAGAGACCTCGTGGGGCCATCCAGTCCAACTCCCTGCCAAGAAGAAGGAAAATCGCATTCAAAGCACCTCTGACAGATGGCCATCCAGCCTCTTTTTAAAAGCCTCCAAAGAAGGTCTCAAAATTGAATTGGAAGAAATATGTTTAGTATTGACTTGAAAGACATCCTAAACAGGGTGCCTGCTGGCTTCGATGTCAGCAGAGCAGGGAATCTACTCAAGTTTCAGTCCAAACCTCAGAAGAGCTATCCAAAGTGCTGAATCCCGCATCTCCCAAACATGTTCAGCCCCTTTAAAGCTTGGGCTAAAACCCAGAGTGGATTAATCATTTCCCTAACTTGGTATTTTTATAAGAGCATGATGTTAAAGTAGGCATGGGCAAACTTGGGCCCTGCAGGTGTTTTGGACTTCAACTCCCACCATTCCCAACAGCCTCAGGCCCTTTCCTTTTCCCCCTCAGCCACTTAAGCTGCTGAGGAGGAAAAAGAAAGGGCCCGAGGCTGTTGGGAATGGTGGGAGTTGAAGTCCAAAACACCTGCAGGGCCCAAGTTTGCTCATGCCTGTGTTAAAGCCTGATTTCTGAATTTCTAATTTTGCTTTTCAAAGTTCTTACAAATTGATTTCTCTCAATAGTTTCATCTGCTCATTAGACTGTGACCCTCTGTAACCTCTAATTAAAATGGCAAATTACTCAGTTGAACAGTCCTCCCTTTTTTCACATTCAAAGAGTTTCCCAAAGGGATCACAGGGTTCTTTCAAATGTGCTTACTAAAGGGTGCTTTTTTTGGTGAACACTAGCTAGCGCAAATTTCTTAATTCCTCAAAGATGCAGAAGTGAAAATATAGCTTGAACCCACAACTATTCAGATGGGATATTTTTCATTCCCCGCAATCCCAGTTAGTTGCAGAATTCACAGAGAACTGACTTACAATGTCAGCATTTCAAGCCATCGTGATGTGAAGATTTGTAAATAACATTCCTGAACTTCCAACCAATGCTGCTTTAGTTAATTAGTTACACAGAAGCAATGCTAGTACAGCTTGGCTTTCCACATTTGTGGACTTAGTCTTTGTGGATTTGATTATTCACAGATGTAATTGAAAATATTCTCTCTAGGAATTTTTAGGTTCTCCTGTGTAATGTTATGATTAGCTTCCGCCTGAATGCTGTTGTGAGGACCGGACCTCACAACCTCTGAGAATGCCTGCCATAGATGTGGGCAAAACAGTAGGAGAGAATGCTTCTGGAACATGGCCATACAGCCCAGAAAACTCACAGCAACCCAGTGATTCCGGCCATTAAAGTTTTGGACAACACAATGCTGTTTTTTTAACCCATTAAAGTTAACATCATCAGGACCACATGGATTCCTTTCCCTTCTGTGTCCATCAAAAGAAATCCTGAAAAATCAAAGGTTTGTGTGTCGCCTGATGAGATGAGCGTTCATATCCAAGCACATGTCCCTTATTAACCCTGATTAAGGTCTTCATCCTATTTAGTTGAACATGAATGCACATATTCATTAGGGCAGCACACCCATAAAGATTTCAGAGCATGATCTACACCTAAGTACACACAAGTCCAACTTCCAGGTAAAATAAAGGACGGGATTCCTGTTTTTGGATGGCCATCTGTCGGGGGTGCTTTGAATGCAATTTTCCTGCCTCTTGACAGGGGGTTGGACTGGATGGTCCATGAGGTCTCTTCCAACTCTATGATTCTATGATTCTTAGTTTAATGGATTTATAAAGAGAGTAGATTTCTGCTATATTGCTTGTTTCACAGTACCCGGTGAAATCCCTGCTTCTGTGCAATCAATTTCTTTTGTGTCAGGAGCGCTTTGAGAAACTGCAAGTTCCTTCTGGTGTGAGAGAATTGGCTCCCTGAAAGGATATTTTACCATCCTAATAGGATGCTCACCAGAGCACCATACAGGGAGCACACCACACTCTTGCTATGTCAACTCCACTGGCTGCCGGTCCATTTCCAAGCACAATTCAAAGTGGTGGTCTTGACCTATAAAACCCTAAACAGCTCCGGCCCAGCTTACTTGTCTGACTGTATCTCCCTCTACGTTCCACCTTGTAGTTTAAGATCCACCGGGGAGGCCCTGCTCTCAGTCCCACCAGCCTGGCAAAGGCGTCTGGTGGGGATGAGGGACAGGGTCTTCTCGGTAGTGACCCTCTCCTTGTAGAACTCGCTCCCCAGAGATATTAGATCGGCATCCTCCCTCCTTTCCTTTAGGAAAAAACTGAAATTGTGGTTTTGGAACCAGGCCTTTAGCTAGCAGGCATAACGGCACTTTGGACATTTAACTGGACCATATAATTGTGATAATAATAAAACAGCTGTATGATTCTTTATCTAATGTTATTGTTTTAATTTGTTGTGTATCTATCTATCTATCTATCTATCTATATATATATATAAATGCTGTGTGCATAATGAGTACCTTAGAAACAAAAGAACCAATGAACGAAATCACAACAAATTTGGCAACAAAATGTCTCACAACACAAGAAGTGACTATAACTCAAAAAATTATGATTTTGTCATTTGGGAGTTGTAGTTGCTGGGATTTATAGTTCACCTACAATCAAAGAGCATTCTGGAATCCACTAATGATGGAATTGAACAAACTTGGCACACAGAACTCCCATGACCAACAGAAAATACTGGAAGGGTTTGGTGGGCATTGACCTTGAGTTTGAGAGTTGTAGTTCACCTACATCCAGAGAGCACTGTGGACTCAATCAATGATGGATCTGGACCAAACTTGGCACAAGCACTCAATACGCCCAAATATGGACACAGATGGAGTTTGGGGGAAATAAACCTTGACATTTGGGAGTTGTAGTCACTGGGATTCACAGTTCACCTACAATCAAAGAGCATTCTGAACCCCACGAACGACATCGGGGCAAACTTCCCACACAGAACCCCCATGACCAACAGAAAATATTTAAGGCCATCCAAGGCCAATTTCCAGATCAACAGACTGGGCCACAGCAATGTGTGGCAGGGGACAGCTAGTGGTTTTATATTGTTGTTTTACTGTAATTTCTGCAAATCATCAAATTGTTGCCAGTGTTAGCCGCTCTGAGTCCTCCTTTGACAAGGGCCGGGTAGAAATGTTGCAAATAAATAAATAAATAAATAGTGGGAGGCTTCTCTCATGTCCCTCCATGGGGTGCTGGAGCTGACAGAGGGAGTTCAACCCACTCTCCCTGGATTCGAACTGCTGACCTGTTGCTTAGCAGTCCTGCTGGTACAAGAGTATAACCCACCACTGGGGGCTCCTGTGCAAGCAATAAAATGTTGGCTCTGTTCCTTATTTCACCTGCAGAATAAAACCATCAGTTTTCTGCTTCTCATATGAAATACAGCCCTTGCTTTGCTTAACCAAATACCTTGCATGTTTCCTCACTGCATTCTGGGTGGATTTTCTGGAAAGTGCAGCGGGATATTCACAACACAGCATCTGATTGGTAGACTCTAAGGACATCATCTCACTAAAGCAGGCCTGGGCAAACTTGGGCCCTCCAGGTGTTTTGGGCTGCAACTCCCACCATTCCTGACAGCCTCAGGCCCCTTCCTTTCCCCCCTCAGCCGCTAAGCGGCTGAGGGGGGAAAGGAAGGGGCCTGAGGCTGTCAGGAATGGTGGGAGTTGCAGCCCAAAACACCTGGAGGGCCCAAGTGTGCCCAGGCCTGATCTACACTGTAGAATGAATGCCCTTTGGCACCACTCTAATTGCCAGGGCGCCATGCAATGGAATCTTGGGGATTGCAGTCTCCTAATGAGGATGCCTTGAGCCTCCTGTGTCAAAGGCTGCTGGTGCCTCACCAGGCTTCAGCTCCCAGGACTCCATCGCTTTGAAGCACAGCAATCAAAGTAGTGTCGGTGTCGGACTGCCTTACTCTACAGCGTAGACGCCCCTGGAGTCATGTAAAAAAACCCATCAACCTTCTTTCCCCGACTCCTCTCGCCTTTGTGGACCCAAAACGACCAAGGGAAGGGTTGTGAGAGGAGCGCTTTTACCTTTCCTGGAGAAGGAGGCCGCCGCCAAAAACAACAGGAGGAGCCACCACCGCAGACCCTGCGCCTCGCCTCCCATGGCCAGGTGCCCAAAGCCCGGCCCGAAAGCCCTCCAGGACCCCTCCGAGCCTCTTTTTGGGAGTGCAGCCCTCGCTCGCGTAGCTGCGACTTGTCCTTCGCCCCGAAGGGAACTGGACCCAAACAAAAAGTTCTCGGGAAACTTTAGGAGGGAGGCGGGGCGAAGGAAGGAGGGAGGGAGGGATGGAGAGGGAGGCCCCGCCTATGACTGTGGGAGGAGGAGGAGAGGGCAATGAACCATATACATACAGCAACAACCCAATAAACCATATACTTGGTGCTTTTCCTTCAAAACGGGGCTAGAGGAGGAGGTCCATGGCTCTAGATCAATGGTTCTCAACCTTCCTAATGCAGCAACCCCTTAACACAGTTCCTCATGTTGTTTTGACCCCCAACCATAACATTATTTCTATTGCTACCTCATAACAGTCATTTTGCTACTGTTATCAATCATCATGTAAATATCTGATAGGCAGGATGTGTTGTCATTCACTGGACCAAATTTGGCACAAATACACGATATTCAAATTTGAATACTGGTGGGGTTGGAGGGGGGTTGATTTTGTCATTTGGGAGTTGTAGTTGCTGGGCACCACAATTCAAGAGAGATATTGACAAGCTGGAATGTGTCCAGAGGAGGGCGACTAAAATGATCAAGGGTCTGGAGAACAAGCCCTATGAGGAGCGGCTTAAGGAGCTGGGCATGTTTAATCTGAAGAAGAGAAGGCTGAGAGGAGATATGATAGCCATGTATAAATATGTGAGAGGAAGCCACAGGGAGGAGGGAGCAAGCTTGTTTTCTGCTTCCTTGCAGACTAGGACGCGGAACAATGGCTTCAAACTACAAGAGAGGAGATTCCATCTGAACATAAGGAAGAACTTCCTGACTGTGAGAGCCGTTCAGCAGTGGAACTCTCTGCCCGGAGTGTGGTGGAGGCTCCTTCTTTGGAAGCTTTTAAACAGAGGCTGGATGGCCATCTGTCAGGGGTGATTTGAATGCAATATTCCTGCTTCTTGGCAGGGGGTTGGACTGGATGGCCATGAGGTCTATTCCAACTCTTGATTCTATGATTCTATATCAAAGAGCATTCTGAACTCCCAACGATAGGACTGAACCAGACTTGACACACAGAACTCTCATGACCAACAGAAAATACTGGAAGGGTTTGGTGAGCATTGACCTTGAGTTCTGGAGTTGTAGTTCACCTACATCCTGAGAACATGGTAGACTCAAATAATGATGGATCTCAACCAAACTTGGCATGAATACTCCATTTGCTCAAATGTGACAAGTTGTGGAGTTTGGTGAAAATAGACATTGACATTTGGGAGTTGTAGTTGCTGGGATTTATAGTTCACCTACAATTAAAGAGCATTCTGAACTCCACCAAAGATGGAATTGGACCACACTTGGCACGAAGCCTCGATATGCCCAAATGTGAACAGTGGTGGAGTTTGGGGAAAATAGACCTTGACATTTGGGAGTTGTAGTTGCTGGGATTTATAGTTCACTTACAATTAAAGAGCATTTTGAACTCCACCAAAGATGGAATTGGACCAAACTTGACACACAGAACTCCCATGACCAGCACAAAATACTGGAAGGGTTTGGTGAGCATTGACCTTAAGTTTTGGAGTTGTAGTTCATCTACATCCAGAGAGTACTGTGGACTCAAACAATGATGGATCTGAACCAAACTTGCACGAATACGCAATATGCCCAAATATGAACACTGGTGGATTTGTGGAAAAATAGACCTTGACATTTGGGAGTTGTAATTGCTGGGATTTATAGTTCACCTACAATCAAAGAGCATTCTGAACCCCACCAATGATAAAATTGAGTCAAACTTCCCACACAGAACCCCTATGACCAACAGAAAATACTGTGTTTTCTGATGGTCTTTGGTGACTCATCTGACACCCCCTTGCAACCCCCCCCCCCCGGGGTCCCAACCCCCAGGTTGAGAAACACTGGTCTAGCAATGTCATCAACTCATTTCAGAAATAACCTTATGGCAACCTCTGGTTAATTATTAGAATTCACAACTTTTCTCCACCTCGGTATCCGTCTCTTAAACTCTGAATATAATTTTATTAAGGAAACGGGGTATGCTGCATACACAAAAATGGTGAAATGCCTGCCACATTCTGGAATACTGAAATAATTTTTGCAAAGGCTTTGATTTAAAAAAGGATTGAGAAATAATAATACTGTGTTTTCTGATTGCCTTTGGTGACCCCTCTGACACCCTCACAACCCCCCCCCCCCCCCCCCCCCCCCCCCCCCCCCCCCCGGGGTCCCGACCACCAGGTTGAGAAACAGTGCTCTAAATTGATTAAATCTTCCTTTCCAGGGAAGAACTGAAAATAAGCTTCTGGCACCTGAATGGCTAAAGAAGTGTTCCCTCCTCCTCCTCTCAATCTCTCTCTCCAGATCCAAAGGCCATGCAATGCAAGCCACTGACTCTCTGTCCAAAGTTAAACATTTATACAAGGTGTGTTGGACTTTGTTTGCCATGTACATGGGCAGACATTGGTGTGACCTTATAATGCGGCGTCAAGACTATTCGAAACCGCAGTGGCCACACACACCAATGCACACTGCACCAGGGATGTAATTTTGGAAAGCCAGAATCTCCATAACCTTTTGGATCAAAATTGCATTCACAACCATTTGAAAAATCATAGCTTTTTGTAAAAGTATAATCTTTGCAGGAGTTCTGTAACATTTATTTATAACAGAACTCCTGCACAACTTCCACATTTTTACCAGGGATAAAGGACAGGTTGGGGGTCACTACAACATTAGAAACTATATTAAGGGGGTGCGGCATTAGGAAGGTTGAGAAACACTGTGTTAGACTAAGATAATGTGATTTGCCAAGATCACTGAGTAGGTTTCCATAGCTGATTGTGGCCCTGAATCCGTGTTTCCTAGAGCCCTAGTGCAACACTTAAACCATTATTCCTCAATGGCTTCTTATCAATGATCCTTGTCCTATTAACAATATGCACCATGGCTGAAGAAAATTTCATCCAGCTGATATGATCCTTCCTCCATCATAGCTCTGCTCATTCTGTAGGGTAGTGGTTTTCAACCTTCCTAATGCCGAGACCCCTTAATACAGTTCCTCATGTTGTGGTGACCTTCAACCATAAAATTATTTTCTGTTGCTAATTCATAACTGTAATTTTGCTACTGTTATGAAACGTAATGTAAATATTCGATATGCAGGGTGTATGCAGATTCACTGGCCCAAATCTGGCACAAATACCCAATACGCCCAAATTCGAATACTGGAGGGGATGGGGAGGTTGATTTTGTCATTTAGGAGTTGTAGTTGCTGGGATGCATAGTTAACCTACAATCAAAGAGATTCTGAACTCCACCAACAATGGAATTGAACCAAACTTGGCACACACAAGTCCCATCACCAACAGAAAATACTGGAAGTGTTTGGTGGGCATTGAGCTTGAGTTTTGGAGCTGTAGTTCATCTATATGCAGAGAAGACTGTAGACTTAAACAATGATGAATCTAGACCAAACTTGGCACTGATACTCAATATGTCCTAATGTGAACACTGGTGGAGTTTGGGGAAAATAGACCTCGACATTTGGAAGTTGTAGTTGCTGGGTTTTATAGTTCACCTAAAATCAAAGAGTATTCTGAACCCCACCAATGATAGAATTGGGCCAAACTTCCCACATAGGACCCCCATGACCAACAGAAAATACTGTGTTTTCTAATGGTCTTTGGTGACCCCTCTGACCCCCCCCTCCCGTGCCCCCCCCCCCCCCAGGGGTCCCGAACCCAGGTTGAGAAACACTGCTGTAGGATCTCTTAAATCTCTTTTTCAAGGAAATAACTTTATCTGCAATGCAATGGGCAGAATGGGTGGGAAAGTTCCAGCTGCACACACATAAAATGAGATCCAACCCAAACAAGAGAATGTTCTCAGTTTTCACTGACTCCCATCTCTTTCCTGCTGCTTTCTAAAGACAAACAATCAGGGATGTAGTGTTAGTTGGAATTAAAATGCCTTTTAGGGAAAAAAATCAAAACAAAAGGGGAAGGGAAAGTAGCAAATTGCTCTCAGAGGTTTCTATGCTTTTCATTATGTGCCTCACGCTATACTGTATTGAATTTCTGCTTTGCTTTTTTGCCTTTGCAAACTTGGAACATCTTGAAGTAATCACCCAGCTCAGACAAGGCACGCGCCTCTAGCAACTAAGGGGCTCCCCTGACTTGACAGCAGCAGAACTGGACTTACTCCAGTTTCCTTTGAAAGGAGGAGGGAGGGTACATTTAAAATGCAGCAAGGGCCACAGCCAAGGTGTGTATGTGTGTGTGTGTGTGTTTGCTCAGGGCTAGCACAAGACATTTTGGTGTATGAAATGGAGCAGTAAAAGGAACCCCCTTGTCTACTTTGCCAAGTCAAGGTACATTCCAAGTACATTGTAGCTGCCAAATTACTTTGGCACATGGAGCAGTAAATCCTTCAGGCCCCTCTCTTCTTCCCTGGCAATAATGATACAATAAGATAAAATTAAATATGTAAAAGTCCCTTTGGGAAGAGAGGGCGGGTTATACATAAAGTTTCATCATTATTATCCTGCTCTTTCATAATACCTGAAATCTACTTCCTGAGTTATGGTTTCCAGATGATCACAGGCAGGGCCGTAGCCAGAAAAAATTCGGGGAGGGTTGAAAATTTGGGGGGGGGGGGGGGTTTGAAACCTGCCTCCTAGCTCATGCTGAAGCCAAGAGCACAGCAGGGGGCAGAGCAGCCTTCAATAGCCTGCAGCTCCGCCCCTGTCAACCACCTCCACCAAGTCTGGCCTCCTTAATGGAGAGCATTCAACACACACACCCCCAACTTGGTTGCTTCGCTACATCGGCTATTGCTGCAAGTAATGACAGTGTGAATAAATTGTCAATATTTACTTGAGATAGTGCTTGCAGTTCTGGAGGGACTCTTAATTTTTTGCGTCTCATAGACTTAGCATGGGGATTTGGTTAACCAGTTAAAATTCATGAGTAAACCAGGTTTTTTTTTAACCTGAAAAATTTGGGGGGGGGAGGGACCCCCCCCCCCCCCCCACCGGCTATAGGCCTGATCACAGGCTTCATGG